CATCCTTCGTGCAGAATGTGTGTAAAATGAGCTTCCCTTTTTGAAAAACCAATAACCAGGGCATCACATGTGCAATCTAACATGTTGGGCTTCATCTTTTTGTATTGTTTCTTCATCTTCTTAATTAGGGAATGAAAAAATGCAGAACTACGAACCTCAGATTTCGCATGGATATGAACATCATTCACTTTAACTCTGCAAGGCTGACGTTCTGGCATGGGTGCTCCTTCTTAATAAATGAGATGCTGGTTCTTATGCATATTTGAATACATATTTGAAATTAATTTGGCAATACTGGCAACCCACTAGTGGTTCATTCCATCTAAGTTTCTTAGTCCCTGACTTATTATTTCTTTTTTGAGTCAGGGTCTCACTGTGTCCCCAGACTGGAGTGCAGTGGCACACTCATGGCCACCACAGCCTTGACCTGCTGGGCTCAGGCAATCCTTCCACCTCAGCCTTCCAAGTAGCTGGAACTACAGGTGCGCACCACCATACCCGGATAGTTTTTTGATTTATTGTAAAGATGAGGTCTCACCAAGTTGCCCAGGCTGATCTTGAACCTCTGGAGTCAGGCAATCCTCTCGCCTCCGCCTATCAAAGTGCTGGAATGACAGGTGTGAGTACCAGGCATCCGGCTCCTGAATTATTGAAGAGTCAAATTTGTTCTTAAAGCAATAGCTCCTGCCTTGTGCTAGGGAAAGTCTAACTGAGATCATAAGAAAAACAAAACTGGCCAGGAACGGCCACTGCACTCCAGTCTGGGCGACAGAGGGAGACTCCAACTCAAAAAAAAAAAAAAAAAAAAAGAGAGAGAGAAAACAAAACCAGGCCGGGTGCAACATCTGTGTCTAGCACGCTTTCTCAAGGTGTGTTAAGAAACACATCCTACCCCCATATAAAACTGGAAGAATTCTATTTTTTAAAACATCCTTTGAGAAACTAACCTGAAAGTGTTGAAACCAAAATAAGTCTGCAACGAAGCTTGGCAAGTGCGGCATAGCTGTGTCTGATGGCTTGTACAAAGCCAGTAATGTGCAGAAATGACTTGAATACGTCAGAGACAGGATAGCTATTTGCAAGTATTAAAAGACATATCTCACAAGAGGCTACATGAAATCAAGATAGCCAAACTGCCTCCGCTCTCCTGTTCAGCCTAATATATCCATTTCTAAGTGACTGCAATTCAGATATTCACTGATAAAGTTACAGTGGGTTTTTTTTTGGTGCTCTGAAATTGAGCTATTAAATAAATGGACATCGCATTTTGGGAGATGGAAAATAAAAAATAAAATAAATAAAAATTTTTAAAAAGCACTGCCAGAGGGGAGATAATATTCTCTGACCTGAAGCTTGGCTAGAGTTGATTTTGAGGGCTTTACTACATGGTAAAAAGCAATAATAAGGCTTTGTTTGGATTAACAAGTAACTACTGAAAAGTCTTCATATCCTGACATTGGTCTGGCTTTTGGATATTACTATCAAAAAGAAAGTTGTAGTCGGGTGTGGTGGTTCACGCCTGTGATCCCAACACTTTGGTAGGAGGAGGCGAGAGGATTGCCTGAGCTCAGGGGTTCCAGTCCAGCTGGGCAGTGTGGGAAGACCTTGTCTCTACAATAAAGAAATAAACACAAAATTAGCCAGGCGTGGTGGCGCATGCATGTAGTTCCAGCTACTTGGAAGGCTGAGGAGAAGGATCGCCCGAACCCAGTAGGTCGAGGCTATGGTGGCCATGAGTGTGCTACTGCACTCCAGCCTTGGCAACACAGTGAGACTCTGACTCAAAAAAAAAAAAAAGAAAGAAAGAAAGAAAGGGTGTCAGTACTGCACTTGCCTTTTGTAGACAGCAACATATACAGCCCTGGGCCCACCTTAGCTATTTCTATGCGGTCATGATATATAGTTACAGACCGGGCCTTGGCTCTTGGCTCATACATAACCCCCCTTAGCCCTGGTCTTTGGTTACAGTTGTAGGGTGTGTCAGGCCTCAGGACACAGAATCTCTCCACCTTCTGCCCTCCATCCCCTGCCCCAAGGCAGGACCCCAGTCTACCCAGCCTTTCTGACGGCTGGTCTTAAGACCCTCCCCACAGATGTTCCCACCCTACGCCCTGAAGGAAGAAATGCGGAAGTCATGAAGCTTCCTTTAAAACCCATAAGGGTGGGGCTTGGTGGCTCAGCCTGTAATCCCGTGCTTTGGGAGGCCGAGGTGTGTGAATTGCCTGAGCCTGTGGGTTTGAGACCCACTTGGGCAAGTTGGCGAGACCTCATCTCTGCAATAAATCAAAAGTGGGCAGGGCATGGTAGCGCGTGCCTGTAGTTCCAGCTACTTGGACGGCTGAGGCGGAAGGATCGCCGGAGCCCAGCAGGTCGAGGCTGCGGTGGCCAGGAGCGGCCACGGCACTCCAGTCTGGGTGACAGAGACAGACTCCAACAAAAAAAATTTAAATTAAATTTTAAAAAACACAAAAAACCCATAAAGACTGGGCAGGGAGTTTTTACTGACTGCAGAGGCCCCTGGAGGAGGTGGAGGGGGACATGAGAACTCCACCCTTCCCCTATACCTTGCCCTACACATCTCTTCATCCATATCCTTTGCAATATCCTTAAATCAGCAAATTTAAGCAAGCGTTTCCCTGAGTCCTGTGATCCGTTCTGGCAAATTAGTCGAACCCAAAGAGGGAGTCGAGGGAACCCCAATCTGAAGCCGGTCGGTCCGAAGTTCTGGAAGCCTGGAATTGTGACTAGTGTGGTGGGGGGGCGGGGTAGTCTTGGGGGCTGAGCCCTCAGCTGTGGCATCTGACCCATCTCCAGCTAGACAAGTGTTGGAATTGAGAATGGAGTCAGAGGCCAGCCAGGTGGTATCTGCTGCTTGGTGTGTGTGGAAAAGCCCCTACACCTTGGCCAGAGTCTTCTTTTGTGATGACTGTTGCAGTGGTGGGACAGTCGAGGGGGAACACTGACTGGGGGTTTATCCTAAATACAGTTGGCTTCCCAGGTCTGGTGATGATGCCTGGCAACTTGCACCCCGCCACACCCCCGTGAAGTCCACTTTCACCTTGCTTGCGCGGAATTTGTTTACAATTTCGGAACAAACAGGGAGTAAAAAAAGCAACCTATAATCATGCAAAAGGAAAGAGAAAACTACTGTGAATGAAACATCTGCTACACAAAATTTTAAAACCGGAGTTTTTAGGCCGAGTGTGGCGGCTCATAATCCCAGCACTGTGGAAGGCCAAGGCGGGAGGATCACTTGAGACCAGGAGTTTGTGACTAGCCTGGGCGACATAGCAGGAGCCTATCTCTACAAAAAATAATTTTTTAAAAATTAGCAAGCATGGTAACCCATGCTTGTAGTCCCAGTTACTCAGAGGCTGAGGAAGGAAGGAAGGAAGGAAAGAAAGAAATACCAAATATTTTAATTTTTAATTTTTTTTTTTTTTTGAGTTGGAGTCTCCCTCTGTCGCCCAGACTGGAGTGCAGTGGCCACTCCCAGCCACCGCAGCCTTGACCTGCTGGGCTCCGGCGATCCTTCCGCCTCAGCCTTCCAAGTAGCCGGAATTACAGGCGCGCACTACCACGCCCGGCTAATTTTTGACTTATTGTAGAGATGAGGTCTCACCAAGTTGCCCAGGTGGGTCTCGAACCCGCGGGCTCCGGCAGTCCACTCACCTCAGCCTTCCAAGGCGCGGGATTACAGGCTGAGTCACCGAGCCCGGCTTGAATTTTTAATTTTTAAGCATAACTCCCTGTATTTCTGAATATAACACATGCTTTAATAAAGATGGTTATGTAAGTAGACCTAATTTTTAAATATGCAGACTCAAAGAACACAGGTCAGGTCTAACATTTTTACTAACACTTAGTTACAGGCACCTGCAGTGACAATGCCTTTCTGTTTAGAGACATCAAGAATCTGCTGAGTCCCAACCGTGTGTCTGATCCCCGACTGTGTGCCCGATCCCCGACTGTGTGCCCTGAAGCCCCAATTATGTGCCATGAGCCCCGACTGTGTGCCACACACCTGTAAAGCTCTGCCATTAGCACACTCAACCCACGTCACACTCAAGAGGCAGAAAGGACTCTGAGTTCCACTAAGTCAGAAGAGAAAGTGGGGCTGAGGGACACATGTGCCTTGGCTGGTGCCACAGCTCTGCAGGGGACCACGGGCATCAGAGGCAGGCAGACCCTGGAGGGTATGTCCCGGAACCACTTCCCACTGTGCAGCACCTTCAGCTACTGGGGGTGGGGGAGTCACTTGGCAACCAGCTGTGCCCGCAGCCTCTGTTTCCAAAGGCACACATGTGTTTCCAAATTCACACCAGTACCCTGCTTATGTTGTGCCTTTGTTTCCAGGGATTAAAAGTGATCACAGACACAGCTGTCTTCCAGAAGCCAGGAGCTGCTACAAACATGAAATTGTGTTTGAAAAGTGCCCATTTCAGCCTGGCACAGTGGCTCACACCTGTCATCCCAGCACTTTGGGAGGCAGAGGTGAGAGGATTGCCTGAGCTCAAGGGTTCGAGATCAGCCTGGGCCACTTGACGAGACCTTGTCTCTACAATAAATGAAAAAAATTAACTAGGCATGGTGGTGCACACCTGTAGTTCCAGCTACTTGGAAGGCTGAGGTGGAAGGATCGCCTGAGCTCAGCAGGTCGAGGCTGCAGTGGCCGTGAGCGTGCCACTGCACTCCAGGCTGGGCGACAGAGTGAGATTCTGACTCAAAAAAAAAAAGAAAAGTGGCCATTTCAGACATCCAAGCATCTAAGGTGAGGCATCTTGCTCAGCCCGACAGAGCAACTTGGGGAAAAGACACAATGTTCCTGCTTCTGGAAACCTCCTGGGGGCCCGTCTGGGCAGCTACCCAGCTACCTACACAGGGCTGCTTCTGCAATGGGAATACTAAGAACAAACAAACAGACAGAGCCTCGGACTCTCTTCACTAACCACAGGTGCAAACTGCTCAGACAAGGTGACTGAGGTAAGTCACTTCCTTACCTGAGGATCTGAAAACAACAGTCCCGTGACTTCATGTTTGACCACAGCTGCATTCCCAGGGATGTTCCTGGCCAGCACCGGGACTTCCAGATCCATGGCCTGCAGGAGACAGGACAAGAGAAGGCAGGTGGCCATCACGCCAAGGGCCCCTGTTGTGAGAGGAGCCAGCCAGGGGAGGGTCGTATCCTGGGCTTGTTGGACCCCTGGCACCTCGCAGGAACTACACCTCACCAAAGAGATGTCCCAACCCAAGGTGGCATTTCCAAAATACACCTGGATTTTAATTACTTACTGTATCTGGAAGCTTTGTAAAACTCACACGGTCATCGTTTGCCTTGACATAATTATTGCAAAGCACAAAGAAAACCCCTCTCCACATGCTCATTTGACACCTCACCTGCTATTTGTGGTCTACATTTTTAATTGCCATCATTACTTTCCCTGATGAGTCATTTTGTCCCAGCTCAGGTTGTATAAATGCCACAGCGGCCCAACATGTCTCTCCAGCACCAGACAAAAGTAAGAAGCAATGATGTATCATTCTAATTATTCATGAAGCTGCGTTTCCGCTCCTAAAAGTCTGCACGTGGCTCCTCACAGCCTGGCACCCACTGGCAGCAAGACCACAAGAAGACACGTGAAAACAACATGCAGTACTGGCCTCACCCACCTGGTCGGGTGGCACTGAGCAGGTTCTCCCTACAGTGCCTCAAAGATGCATGGTGTCAGTTCAAGAGGAACCTGAATCCAGCTTCAAAGGGATCCCACTGACCACAGTCGGACAATTTTGCAGTTTTGAAAAGAATATTGATTGTAATCGAGTATAATGCACTCAATTTAAAACATACACGATTCCCTGGGGACGAGAGAGCGCTGAAAAGAAGACAGAGGAAGAGGATAATAAAAGCAGAAGAAAGAAAAGGGAGAGCTGACTGCTGCAGTGGTTCAAGCCTGTAATCCCAGCACTTAGGGAGGTCAGGGCTATAGGACTTCTTGAGCCCAGGAGTTTGAGACCAACTTAGGCAACATAGTGAGACCTCGTTTCTAAAACTAAAAATAACCAGACATGGAGGTGCATGCCTGTAGTCCCAGCTACTTGGGAGAGTGAGGTGGAAGGACTGCTTCCCACTTTGCACTCCAACCTGGGAAGCAAAGTGAGACTCCAACGAGGGAGGGAGAGAGGGAGGGAAAGAAAGAAAGGTAAAGAAAGAGAGAGGAAGCCGGGCTCGGTGGCTCAGCCTGTAATCCCGCGCCTTTGGGAGGCTGAGGT